TGGAGGCCAAGCCAGCCACGCTCCTGTCCTGAACATGCGGCGGACTTCAACATGGCACGTGAGGAAGGAAGTGACAGTGTGTTTAAGGATCACCTGCCACAGTGTTATTTTAGAACTTATGGTTTTCACAAAAAGCAGTCTTGTATTTCTTTATACTTATTTTCTAGTAATAAACACATAGAGGTATCCCTACGTGTATTTCCACCAGACTTGACATTCTTCTTCACCTTTTTCCATGTACTCTTTTTACAAAATAGCCCAAGCGTTCAGACTGAGAAACCGCATAAGTGAAATACCGTCTTACAAGCTACATTTAAGTGAAATGTGTGGCAAGAAAAATACGCGACTGGAAATTAAAACGTCAATAATGACAAGCTGCTCCTCTATAAAGTGTGATTTGAGTAAAACTTATGCCACCCACGTTCATGGAAAGTTTGTGTTGCTGAACAATTGATATAATTCAAATAAAATACCTTTACGCCACAATTCTAAGATGAAATGGCATTATCAAATAGCGGTACTTGGTATCTACGAGTGCTCCGAAAAAAATACTCTCATGCTCATTGTTTGTCTGAAAAAAAGTGCTATTAATGCATCCCTAATGTTTACTGCGTAGTCTTGCCATTAGTACCATCTGTAATACGTCATCATCCTCGGTTTAGTTACGTCAGCATCCTTGAAACCAAAGACTTCCCAAAGTTCAAATGTCCTTCTTTGACCATAGGCTCTCTTTTGGTAATGATATTTTCAAATGACAATAGATTCAAATAGAAATATAAATGCTGATGCAATTACACAACAACCCCATGCTTAAATCACTTTTTCTGGTAGGACATTAAAAGTGCACTGTGAGACTGCAACCTGAAACGTGCTGCAATTGCTTAAGTCCAGGAACCAAATGCAGCTGGTTGCTATGCTTGCAGATGGATGGTGAGGCCTCGGCTTTCACCATTGCCCTCTTCCCCCTCCCTTTTCAGGCTGTCCACATCTTTTCCCATTCTTTACAGTCTGTCCCAGATGCTCTCCCACCTCCTCCATGGATTCTTTGAAAGTGTTTTTCCAAGTAGCGTGGGGTAGTGGAGGCCCCTCCTTTCTGAGAACTGGTCCCGCTTAGATGGTTTATGGGCACCCAGAGACAGTATCAGACGTGTATGCGAATCGGAGAGTGAGGCCGCAGAAAGGAGGAGGGAGGGAGGCTGAACGAGGACAAGGGAGGAGTTTGCAAACACGCCAGGCCATGGTTCACCTCAGCAGGCAATTACATTGAAGCTAGGGAAAGAGTGACAGAAAACAAACAAATATACAGACAACCAAGTCTCCAATCACTCTGGTTATAGGTGTAGTCCATGCTTGGGGGGCATCTTGTGTTCATTTAGATCAGAAAGTCAACTTTGCTTCATCAGCTGACGTGGTTGATTAAGTGGATGAGTTTGGCTTGCAACAATATCGATGCAGAAGAGATGTGGTTAAAAATCAAATTAGTTTGCTGTCTTTAAAATTCCATCTTGTATTGAAGTCAAAACCCAGAAAATATTGAATCAGAAAGGTTTCATGACTAGGGTGACTAAAGATGGGCTACGTTTCAAACCCAAACTACAAAGGGTGAGTTTTCCCCTTCAGTACGGCGGGCCAGTCGATCGAGCAGCACATCCCCACTAAGAAGAGGCCAGAGTTGCGGCAGCACAACTTGTGGCTGCCGCACCATGACAAGACGCTTGCTCATAATGCTCTGCAGCTGACACTAAGACATAGATAATAATACATATTTTTCAACTTAACAACAGAATTATGTGTGGTTTTTATTTTCTAAGTTTATTTACACTACATGTGTGATAATATATTCAATACAGAGAACCTCCGCCTATTTGCAGTTCCCTATTAACGAATTTACCGTTTCACATTTTATCTTCTCCTAGTGTCGACTTACTGTAGCTAGCTAGCTAAGCTTACACCGCCAAAAATGTATCTTGACTGGAGACCAAAATTTCCAGAGTCTTCTCAATGTTGTTATTCAAAGTTCTAAGTGAGGAAGTGACATCGCAGATAAGACCACCGCCCATTTGCCAGCCGAGAGGCGGGCCAGAGGCCTTTTAGCTCGCGCCTTTTGTCACAACGTGGAATGCCACAGGGGATCACATGGACACGGAAGAGCACTGCAGAGATGTCAGCCAGGAACGGCGCCAAAGTTTTCTCCCAACCATACTCAAATGCACTGGAACCTCCAAAATGGCAGGTCCAATAACGATTGGTGATCAGACACTCGTTGGCACCGTGCGTCATCTTGAACCAATTGATGATTGATGATAAAGAATATGGTTTCGGAGTATGGGTTAATGCAACGACAATTCTCTTTAATTCTGCCAAACCTCGATATTGAGCTGTTCGTACGAAGACAACCTTTATATTATAATTCAGAGTATTTCTGATTTTAACCATTCTTGTCATTGTGAAATTTTTCGTCAATGCGGGCTCCACACTTGATTTCATCAGCTGAAATCCGAAGGGTCTTTGCAAGGTTTAAAGCTTCTCTGGAATTAAATTAATTCTTTATAGTCCCAGAGGAAATATCCATGAGCTTGTATTACAATGAAATGCTAATCAGGTTTGATCGAGCAATACAGACACTTGTGAAAATTACAGCAAGTGCATGCTAACTCACTTAAGGCACTTTAAACACTATCAACACAACATAAATTTGGTCCCAAAGGAAAATGTTGACATTTTCTCCAGATTCTGCTTTGCACATTCCTTGGTGCTTTTTTTATGATTTTGAGAGCAATTCGTTGATTCTCAGTGTGTGTGTGTGTGTGTGTGTGTGTGTGTGTGTGTGTGTGTGTGTGTATTTTACACTAGTAAAATAGGGTGTTGTCGTGTAAGAGGACGCTAAAGACACGCCCCTAGCAGGTACCAGTCGCCAATGAGTGAAGGGTAGGCGCGTAAGAGGACGCTAAAGGCACACCCCTAGCAGGTACCAGTCGCGTGAGTACATTGTAAAATGGATAAATAAAGTACAACCGAACTCAGTTTTGCTTCCGTTGCCTTTTTAAAAACGTGTTTTTAGCGTGTGGCCGTATGTCTTAGCTGCTACCGTATGCTTTAAGCTAACATACCTGGTATGTTTTAGCGTGAATGCATGCTCCCGAATGCTTCAAGCTAACGTGTTTTTAGCGTGCGTGCATGCATGCCGTATGTTTAAGCTGGGGTATGTTTTACCATGCCTGGCTGCGCCCAATAATACAGTACGTTTTGTGTATGTTTCAAATACAGAAATAGCACCCGTTACTGAGACTGCGCCCAACAATACGGTGCGCCGAATGGTCGTGAAAATACGGTAATTAACAAGTTTTAGGCAATGTACCTACAGTACAAACTCATCAAAACAAAATAAAAATAATAAAATAATGTCCTTATTAGAAAAATACTGTTTGAAATATTTAAGACTCTATCACATGTAAACATTTGATCAACTGTTGATCAAATGGCATTCATTCATTTTAGCAGGTTCATAAATATTTGTTGCACACAATGTCGTTAAAAAAATCCCCTCTCCCAACCGCACTTTTTTGTTTTCAATGCGAATTTAACTCTTGAATTGAATTAGTGTTTTATTGCAATGCTTTCTGTCATGCATGAATGTATGAGGTATAAACATGAAAGAAAACTAGGAAAAAAATAAAAGCCTTCTATAAAACTCACAATGAAGGAAACACACGCTGTATGTAGGAGACTGGACTGTCTCAGAATTGTTTATGTTATTCATTCCTTTGTTGTTTGTTCACAAATGCCCCCATATAATTTATTTTGTTATTTCCTCGCTTGATTTTCTGTTTTGGTGCATTATATTCGGTTTTCTTAGTGTCATTGAAGTGATCATTAATTTCCGTTTTTCGGGGGCTGTCTTTGAACGACTCTCGAGTCGAACAAGAGGAGAGAAGGTGGAGAGTCGGACGCAGACGTGTCTGTGTTTGTCGAGACTGTTAAAAGAATAAATTAAGTGTACGTTTTAAAAAGCCAACACCACAGCTCTCCTTTTTTCGGAGCTGCAACATGTATCTATATCTGTATGAGCTACTGTATATTAGCCTACTATCAAAATGACTAAGTCTGCTACAATTACACGATGAGCCTTCATGATTAAATGTTTTTTTCCCGTGCAGTGCATTCTGTAGAGCAGGGGTGCCCAACCTTTTTTGACCGAAGATCTACTTTTCGTTTAACCAACCTACCGCGATCGACCCGTGCATACACAACACACTTACAGACGCATGCCTCCCGACCTTCGTCGAGATTTGACGCGGAGGCATGGTATGCACTTTTGCAGCGTTGACTATCGTAGCTCACATGTACCATTTTAAAAATGCTTTTCACGGCCCTCCAGATTCTCTTTGCCAGTACCCTCGGTGAATTGTACGTGAAATGCTGTTTTTAAATGTATTTATTTATTAATTTATTTTTTGCAACAGCCACCTGCCTTGCATCCCGCTCTGCTAATAGAAATGCGTGTCGCAGGCTATGACACAATCTTCGTTGACAGAAACGTTGAAATGTAATACTTATTCTACACATTTTTACAGCATTGAGAAATGTTAAGAATGTTTGTGTCATGTTTTTACTCCTACAGAAACCATATTTAAAACAAAAAAAAAAATTTCCCTCCCACATCTTTTTCCATTTTCAAACATTTTTTATAAAGCTCCAGCTAGCTACTAGATGGCACTAAAGAGCTGCATGCGGCTTAAGAGCCGCGTGTTGCCGACCCCCGATTTAGTGTATCATGCTGTGTTAGAAAAAAAGTGGCATCGGGCCATCCCATGGAAAAAGGTGTTGCAATGTATGGATATATTTGAAAAAGTTTTCCTTAAAATTCAATTGCAGTGAACATAAACTATTCCTGACTGAAAAACGAAAATATTTCTGATGTCTGTCCCTTCAACTAATATTCCGGCATGATATATTGGAACATGCGCTTTATTTTCAATAAATAATGTTCGTGGCCTTACCTTGACATGACTCTGGTGCGGGAGCAGCAGGCAGAGGTCGCTGGGACCTGGGTTGACTGGATGGGAGCGCCATCTTGACAGGCCCCACATATTCGACATACGTCCCGGGAAAGTCGCCTCTCTGCTTAGAGCGCTCGTTGTAACCGAGAAGCCAGCCGAGGCACTCGGGTTTCTCCGCGCAGCCCTCATGGTAGTTCTCGACGGAGAGCAGCGAGGCCTTGCTCACGATCAGGAGGTCCCCTGGCTGCAGGTCCAAGTCTTCTTCCTGGTCCTTGGTGAACACATAGAGGGCACGGTACTGGAAACCTTCCGTTGCCATTTTGCGAGGGAAGCACGATTCAAAATGGCCACCGAGTGGAGGATTATATGGTGCAGGCCAAGTCCCCTTGCAATAAGTGGGTCCAGCTCGACACAAATCCTGCCCCCAGAAAGCAGCGAAAAAAAGCGGGCTGTCGCAGCGGGGCCTTGGTGGGGGTGGAGGGGACCCACTGAGTCACCCGTAGCTTAGAAGCATTTTCGTAAGTCCGCAAGGTAGCATTCGACCCCCGCAGGCTTGTTTCAGACCTGACCAGTGTTGTTGAAGTGGTGCACTTTCCTCAGCTTGATACCCCGGTTGAGCCACACGATGGAGCAGAGGGAGAGCGTAGGCAACATGCTCCTTAAAGCGTCCGACACCTGCTGGCGGCAGCCGGGTTCAAACTTTGCCAGTGGAGGGCCGTGTGGCAGCGGCTCCTTGCAGTCCAAGTGAAGTGGTCTAAATTGGAGTACCAGCGTCGGAGTGGGATGCTCGTTAATCCTCTTCGGTTCTCTAAAGCTCCCACATGTTCTGGACAGGGATTGTGACCGACCTGCCGTAGATTAAAACCCCCCGAAAGAGAGAAAAAAAAATAGTTACATACAGTATATGTATATACATTAAGTGCAAAAACGTAGGAGTCAACAAATACAGTCTGGCATAAATATAGCAGTACCTACAGTATTTGGGCGCAACGAAGCTCAAACGCACATGAAAATGGCGAACGGCGGCAGCGCCATGCATTTGTGCAGTCTTCGGAAAGGACACAGATCGCATGATGCTGCTGCGTCACAACCGAAAGCAGACTTGGTTGCTGGACAGGAGCCTCCATTCCTTTCACTCTACATTCACACACTCGTGGCTTTAACTGATGTGTCACCGTTTGCAATGGAACAGTAACTGTGACTGTGCAATCTGCATTCCCATGCAAATGATTCCTAGAAATAAAGTTTTTGTTGAAGCAGAGTAGGAAGGAAAACGACAATGCCCGACCACTTCCAAAATATTTTGGCTTCATTCTTTCAAAAGATAACAGATTCGCAGAGTCAGATGATGCCAAAGCCGCTCACGTAAAACACCATATAACAACAAACTATATCAATAAAAGCACACTACGTTCACTCAGTACAGTGCATGCAGCAAAAGGAGATATTACAACGCCAAAAAATATAAAACCGGCAAAATAAAATTCACAGCATTACCAAATATTGACGTCATCACCATGTGAAAAGGCCAAATTTCAGCCCCAAAAATATTTGTACTGTATTTGAAAATGTGCTCAAAAACATGCGGACGTTGGAGATGGCGATGGAGGAAGAGAGGAAGAGATTAGGATTTGCCGATTAAGTACAACATCAGCGGTCTGTCGACCAGCCAAGTACGATGATTATGCTATCAGTGATGGTGGTAGACACAAGCCAGGACAGCTCGAAAGGTGGATGCAAGTTTTTATGTTCTGTGGCAAGAGTTACAAGCAGTTTAGGGTGATGCTAAAAATAAATAAATAAATAGATAAATAAATAAAAATAAAAAACCCCAAAACCAAATAACCGTATGCCAGCTTTGTAAGACCCAACATTGTGCAACCAAAAATAATGCTGGATGACTGCATTCTGTTGTGAGTGATGCATTGCAGACACAAAAATAAAAGTAGTTGAGAGCAAAAAAACAACATGGAATCGTACTGGTTAGCTTTGAATACTAAGGGGCATGCTTTCGAACCACAGGAAACTGTGGTCCCGTCGCGACATTTGGAAAGACAACACAAATTCCTTATAAAGCGTGTAGACGAACAATATCTTTTTTTATTTATTTATTTATTTTATTATCTATTTGGGAAACGAAAAATAAAAGAGAGCGATCCAAGAGTCATGGCGTCGAGAAGACGCAGCCGCATGCAACACTCACCCCACGTTTGGTTGAGAGAGAAGCCGGACAGGCTCAGCCAGACTCTCCGTTCAACATCCTTCCCAGCCGACAAGCAAGAGGTGCCAGGCTCGACACGTGGCACTGGCATACCCAACCACAGCCCGCAATCCTCACACCATCATAACCCCCCACCCCCTAGCCATACCCTCCTTCCTTCTCCCCCCAAACCCACAGTCCTGCCTCTGACTGACCCCCCCCCAACACCCTCCCCATCCTCACTCAGCAAAAAAGTCCAATGGTTGATACAGTTGCCATCTGGTTTGTTTACAGTCTGAAGGCTCCGGCGGGAAAAAAGTTGAAGAAAAGTCAAAGGCAAACGTTGATTTCGCGAGCGCCCTCGTGCGCCAATCCTTTTTCCACTACTTAGTTTCGGCGTGCACCAAGTGGTGCGAGTCGTGCAAGGTGAAAGAGGAGTCCTGCTCCGAGAGTGTTGAAGAAGCAGTCCACTGTGCAAGGTAGCAGCTGGCGAACTCGGCATCAAAAGATCCATCTCTACTATTCTATTTCTTTCTTTCTTTTTTTTTTAAATGACAACTTTCTATTGAGTCAGAGAAGGAAAGCAGGCAGGAAAAAAAAAACGGAGCACTTTGCTGTCAGCGGACTCCAAATGGCTGAAGGAGACCACAGGAAAATAATTAATGAATAGGCAGCAAGTAACTCACTGTTGCTAGAGAGGGGGAAAGCTCTTCCCGCAATGTGATTGGCTGCCGCGCGCACCATGTGCTACTCAGTCACCAGAGAAGCCGGGCAAATCAAGGAAACGTTCTAATATTAGAAAATGTTTCTAGGCAGCCATCATACGTTTGACCCAAACAACTACACCTCTTCACCATGCATTGGACTTAAAGTTAATATTTTAGTCACACATTTGACGAAAGCAGAGAAGAGTTCAACAGGCTGAATAAGCATTTTGTGGTCACTGAAAGAAATTCTGGCCAACATTCCAGCTTCTATATATTCAAACGTATTGCCAACAAACTGGCATTTCGGTACCGTTACACAGAAAATGAAAATACCTGAGACATTTAACCGAAGAGCAAATACAATGTCATTTAAAAATGTCGTTTATGTTTCACTTGATAAAAATATGATTGAATTTGAATTACTTTTATGCCCATTTATTCCTTTAATGTTATATTTTTGAGTCAAGTAAATAAATTCATATTATATATATACAGTATATATTTATACCATCTTCAGTTTAGAACTAGGGATGAAGAGTACTGTACCTTTGAAAAAGCATTTACCATTTGTGGAATAGATCTGCAATGAAAAATACAGTATACACGCATATGAGACATACAGCAGACCTTTAATGTATAGTAGAAAATATCTAAGACATTTGAGTTCAGCTTGTGAAAAGCAGAGTAAAAGCAAGTTTGATTTTTTGGGGGCGTACAGTAATCCCTCGCAATAACGCGTTCCTCTTTCATAGCTTGGCTGTTTCACTGATTTTTTTTTCATGCAGGTTTGTCTGGCTAATGGACCGTTGACATTACCGCGCCTCACCACTGCACAGCTGACCAAATGTTCTCCATGACAAAAACCCACAATGTCCATGAAACGTTCTATACAGTGTTTCTAAAAACTCAGTTGTCTGTATACATACATACATACATACATACATATATATATATATATATATATATATATACACATATATATATATATATATATATATATATATACAGTGAAACTCCTCTACAACGAAATCATGTTTGCAGCAAGAATTTTTTCATAACAGGGGGTTTTTCACTGTTGCAAATTTGATCTCAGATGTAAGCACACACACATCCACACACACAAATGTATGTGTACACCCACACACAAACATATGTGTACTCTATTTTTATTCCGATAGTGCATAAGTATGAGCACACACTTATTTGACACTTCATATTATCAGTGTAGAAAGAAATTACGAAATTTACGATCAGCATTCACTTTCACTTACATCAATTTCTTGGATATTGTCTTTGATTTTGCTTGCTCTGTCTTTCATTTTGATTACTTTTACCCTCTCTTCCAGCATCAGAATGGCAACGTCCATCCTCGTCTGAATCTAACAATAACAAATACTTCCTGGCATGCAATGAACTTTTAAACCAGCCACGGGACGCTTCGTAGTCCTCGATGGCCATATTTAGCTCTCGAAGGCTAAAAACCTTACGCTAACTGGAGCGCCTCTCTCTCTTAGCGCTCGTTAGCGTAAGGTTTTTAGCCTTCGAGAGCTAACTATGGCCATCGAGGACTACGAAGCGTCCTGTGGGTGCTTTTAGCATCACAACAAGTAAAGCATTCAAGGAAACGTTCGTTTATTTGAATGTCCGTCGAGCCATAAGCAATTTACTCTGAGCAGCTAATCGGATGCTACAGATCTTCAGTATCTACACACATAGACAGTGAGGTCCCTCTTGGCCAATCGGAGGCCAGGATGATGCTCGGTAAGCCAATGGCAGAGCAGCTATGAGTATATTGAGTCCAGGAAACATCGTTCATGATGTAAACCAGTGTGGTGGTTGCTGTTGCGTTTTTTCGAACGAAGCAGTAGAGGTCGCTGTTGGATAAGACTTTGTTGTAGTGAATGTCTTCGCGAGGCTGGAGCAGAGAAAATGATTTCGTATAACGCTACAGGGGGGTTTTCGTCGTATGGGGGCAGCAGAATGGGAATTGTGTTAATGCATGAAGATTTTTTCACATAAGGGGGTATTTTCGCCCATGCAGGTTTCGTTCTAGAGGAGTTTCACTGTA